TCAACTAGTGGACCATATTATTAATTATTTTTGAAACACACACACACACACACAGAGGAATATATATATATATATATATATATATATATATATATATATATATATATATATATATATATATATATATATATATATATATATATATATATATATAAACTAAATAAATTTTTTTAACCATTGAGGTTAGATTATAAAATTAAGAATATGAGTCCTAAGTTGAAAAAAATTGCAAGATGAGGAAGATAAAAAAGTAAAAAAGAAAAACTTTTAAATTTTTCAAAATATTGCATCAATTGTGTAAAAAATTTGTTTATTTTTTTGTTAGTAAGTGAGTTATTGTATTATCTATTTTGAAAAAAAATTTCAAAATAAAATTTAATAATATTTTTTCTCCTTTGGTTTTAATAGTTTACATTGATCATTGTATTTAATTAAATAAAAGTTTTTTTCCCTCTAAATATCTTTAAGGATTTGGCTCTTTAGAATATAAATTTTTTCCATAAGCGAAACCTTCAATTCCCAAAATTTGAAAATTAAGGATTGATAAATATATATTCTAATATAAATTCTCTATTTTCAATATTTAAAGCCGAAATACCAATTTAAACATATAATTATAAATTAAAGACTCTATTATAATAAATACATTTGAAATCTCTATAAGATTAGTTTTAATATCTGATATTACATCATTTCCATACCTGGATTATATACTTCATCTTTCTATTACATTTGTACTATATATACATAAATATAAATATATATATATATATATATATATATATATATATATATTTAATATAAATTTCTACATGTTATTTTTGTTTATTATTTTAGGTTTTTGTGTTTTTTAAAAGTTTTTATCTAAGGCTTTGCTTAAATATGGGTTTGTTTTGAAGAAAGTTATTTTGGTTTGATCAACGTTGTTTGTTTCATAAAAAATTTATATATATATATATATATATATATATATATATATATATAAATATATATATATATCTTCAATATAACAAATATCAAATTAAATTATTTGTAGACAGTTTAGAGACATTCAAATTTATATTAAAATTATAATCTTTAAAAAATAAAAAATAACACTTTCAATTTAAAAAAAAAATAACAGCGTCTGTTTCTAGCTTTTTTTTTCACAAAGAAAAAATCTTCTCTAATTTTTCCTTCTCTCTTTTTTCTCAAATGGTTTTTTTTCTCTACCCCTTCGATATCAATATATAACTTCCGTTAAGTTAACCGTTTAAATGTGTCAATATCTGCTAAAGGAATAACTCATAATTTCTCTCTCTCCCCTCACTTCCTCACTTCGTTAATTTACATATGTTTAATACGGCCCGTCAAAAATGTGTAAATTTTTTTTCATTTTTTTTTGAAAGTAAAGTCTGATGATCCGCAGTCCTTTAAAGGGCTGTGGTGAAATAATTTATTACATGGAACCTTAAAGTGGTCTGTTTTTATTTTAAATTATTTGCTCTGGATTTACATTGAATCTCTGGGTTTTATCCTCCTTAGGTTTACCCATATTTTATTACCTATTTTCCAAATAAATATATATATATATATATATATATATATATATATATATATATATATATATATAACCGAATATTTCTTAACATATAAAACAAACTGAACTCTTTCCTTTATATACATTATTTAAAATATATAAATAATACGTGTGTGTGTGTTTATTAGTTATTTTTTACTATACATAATTGTTTATATATATATATATATATATATATATATATATATATATATATGCATGTGCAAATTGTTTATGTAAAAATAACTTGAAGGGGAGTCAGTTTGTGGATCCTAAAATTTTTTAGGGTAACTTTCGAAGGAAAAGGATTTATAAAAAAAAAAAGGCCAAATACTTAGATAAAATAGCCTGTACATCATCAGGGTCATTTGAGCCACAAATATAGTCCCGAAGGAATAAGGCACAACCTAACGACTTCCGTTTTCGTCTGATCACTGTGCTTGAGGAGGATTTCGGGTGTGGCTTGGCTTCCTGGAAACATGTCGAAGTCGGTAAAATGAAAGAGGAACAGAAATGTCGGTTGAATGAAGTCAAGACATCTTAATAAATGAATAAATAAATAAATACAGGAATTACGGGAAATAGATCTCAAATCTTGAATTGTTTGAACTCCTTCTTTAAAATAAAAAATTGAAAGAAAGAAAGAAAGAAAGAAAGAAAGAAAGAAAGAAAGAAAGAAAGAGAGAGAGAGAGAGTGTACAAAATAATTGAAAGGAAGAATTTAGGAATGATATGAAAGGGAATTTTATAGAAAAAAAGGAAAATTGAGGGTAAAATAACACAAAAAATTGAAAAGAATTGAAGGGATATTCTAAGTAAAAATGATATTTTATGGTAAGCAAGAAAGCAAACAATAAAAAATGAAGATAGAAATTTAAAAAAAAAATTTATAAACAAACAAAAATATATATATATATATATATATATATATATATATATATA